TTTCATTATTATTTTGGCACCCCTACTAAGTACTAACATTTCCCTTCCCTCCCCACTCTCAGCACATCTTTTGTACAGTAAGAGATTTTTGTTGTGTGTTGTTGTTTTTGATTTGTCTAATCTTCTCTGTTTTCTCTTTGCCGGGACCTCATCGTTGGAGATGGTGGAATAAGGACTTGGAGGTGGCTGGGCATATTGGATTGGAACAGCATCCCAACAACGCTGGAATGGAGGTATTTCTTAGTCATTAAGAAATAACAGAGGTATGATCATTTCATTATTATTTTGGCACCCCTACTAAGTACTAACATTTCCCTTTCCTCCCCCACTCTCAGCACATCTTTTGTACTGTAATAGTTTTTGTTGTGTGGTGTTGTTTTTGATTTGTCTAATCTTCTCTGTTTTCTCTTTGCCGGGACCTCATCGCTGGAGATGGTGAAATAAGGACTTGGAGGCGGCTGGGCATATTGGATTGGAACAGCATCCCAACAACGCTGGAATGGAGGTATTTCTTAGTCATTAAGAAATAACAGAGGTATGATCGTTTCATTATCATTTTGGCACCCCTACTAAGTACTAACATTTCCTTTCCCTCCCCACTCTCAGCACATCTTTTGTACAGTAAGAGTTTTTTGTTGTGTTGTTGTTTTTGATTTGTCTAATCTTCTCTGTTTTCTCTTTGCCGGGACTTCATCGTTGGAGATGGTGGAATAAGGACTTGGAGGCGGCTGGGCATATTGGATTGGAACAGCATCCCAACAACGCTGGAATGGAGGTATTTCTTAGTCATTAAGAAATAGCAGAGGTATGATCGTTTCATTATTATTTTGGCACCCCTACTAAGTACTAACATTTCCCTTTCCTCCCCCACTCTCAGCACATCTTTTGTAATAGTTTTTTTTTTGATTTGTTGTTTTTTGTTTGTCTAATCTTCTCTGTTTTCTCTTTGCCGGGACCTCATCGTTGGAGATGGTGGAATAAGGACTTGGAGGCGGCTGGGCATATTGGATTGGAACAGCATCCCAACAACGCTGGAATTGATGTTTTTGTTATGTTGTTTTGTTTTTATTATGTTAATGTTAGGTTGTTTTGTTATCTTAGTTATTTGTTATACTTCTTGCTTTGTTAGTGTTGTTAGTTGTAAGTTCTTTGTTTATTGTTAGATAATATTATTTATCTAATGTTTATTTTGTTAGTTTTGTTCATTATATTAGTTATTTGTTACATTAGGTTTTTTTTGTTAGACATTTGTTAATTCAAGTTTTGTTTGTACTTTGTTATGTTGATTTGGAAAGTAATTTAAATAATTTGTTATATTGCTGTAAGTATAATCTTTTCATTGTTGTTATAATTATTTTATTTGTTATTGTTATGAGTTTTAGTTATTTGTTATTGTTATGAGTGCTAGGTATTTGTTATTGGTATATCAGTATTAGGTATTTGTTATTGGTGTGTTGTTATGATTATGTTATTTGTTATTGAGTTTATGCTATTTGTTATTGTTATGAGTTTTAGTTATTTGTTATTGTTATGAGTTTTAGTTATTTGTTATTGTTATGAGTTTTAGTTATTTGTTATTGGTATGAGCTTTAGTTATTTGTTATTGTTATGAGTGTTAGCTATTTGTTATTGGTATATCAGTATTAGGTATTTGTTATTGGTGTTTCAATATTAGTTATTTGTTATTGATATGAGTTTTAGTTATTTGTATGAGTTTTAGTTATTGTTATATCAGTATAAGGTATTTGTTATTGGTATGTCAGTGTTAGGTATTTGTTATCGGTATGTCAGTATTAGGTATTTGTTATTGGTATGTCAGTATTAGTTATTTGTTATTGGTATGTATATTAGTATTAGTTATTTGTTGATGGTATCAGTATTAAGCATGTTTCTAATTTCTTTGTTGTATTTTGCATTGGTACCTACATTGGACATGTTGAATATAAGAGATTAGAATTGTTGAAACGTGTTTCAGTCAAAACTTCTGGCCCGATCGAGGGCCTAGCTAAATATCTAATTATATTTGTTCTTTTTACGACTTTATTTTATAGATGGGCAAAGCTTGAAAGTTGATGAGGAATAAGAAATATCCTTATAAGAGTGATAAGGTAAAATGTAATAGAAAATATTGAATTAATTAAAAATTCAGCTTACATTATGCATTATTGTTGGATTATTGGAAATGTTCTAGATGAAAGTAAAATAGTCCTAATTGACTTGATTCATCTTTCCAAAACAAAGAAAGTGATCCTTGATATTGTGTAGCTTTTCTCGGCAATGGCCAATGTGTAAGCTCTAGCTCTAGGTCAGAGACTAGAAGAGCTAGTGCATAAGAAGGTGTCCCTTGTCTGTCTGTCTAGCTGTCTGTCTATTTGTAAATAATTTTTCAAAAAAGCTACCTCTCTTTCAGTTTTAATTGAAAAGACAACAGGACATGGTGGAAATAGAATATGCATGTCTGATGGACAATCAATCTCCAAGATGTGGAAACAGCAGCTGCACTTAACAGAACTTGGTGAAACAACTGGAGGAGCAAGTTTGATGGAAGTTGATTTTCCAAGATTTAGAAACAGCAGCTGCCTCAACAGGACATTGTGGAAACAACTGCAGGAGGCATGGCTGTTAGATGTTGATCTTCCAAGATGTGGAAACTGCAACTGTAGCCAACAGAACTTAATTGGTGGAAACAACTGGAGGAGACGTGCATGATGGATGTTGACTTTCCAAGATGTGGAAACAGCAGTGCGGCAACAGGAATTGGTGGAAACAACTAGAGGAGACAAGCCTGATGGATGTTAACCCCCCCCCCCCCCCCCACAAGACATTTCACAGTAGATAACTGGCACTAATCAGGTATGTGACATAATCATGATCCAAGATCATCTTGTTAATAAAAATTAAGTTTCAAATTACAGTGGCTTCAATACAGAATAAATCAACACAGCTACAAACAAAGTGTTATATAAAATTGAATGATACTCAGTTCTATAGTAATTTTAAGAGCCATTTTGTTTCCAAGCTTAACAGTCTATTAAAATATACAGCCATATTTCATACACTGGTATCAGATACATCTCATGTTTGGAAATCTCAGAGATTTGACGAATTTTCATCAGAATTTAGGAATTTTCTAATTTTTCACATTCTTGTAGCCTCCAGTCACACTTTAAATCAATACAAAACAAGCATCACTTACAATTAGGGATTTCCAAATATTTATTTCCTTTAGTCGATTATTCGATTGCATTATTCGAACGATAGTCGAATATTCGGAATATTTCCTGGAAATAAAATTTTATTTCAAACTTCACTAATACATTGCGTATTTGTAACTCAAAACCCCTTTTACTTAAATCAGTTTAAAAAGTAACATCAAAATTAATGCAACGTAACGAGTGGATAGCAAGATTATATGAAATAAATTTAGACACCTAATTCTCCAAAATGTATAATTTTCCCGTCAATCGAATTCATAAATCCGTCTGTAAAGTCAGTTTATATTTTAGTAAGCCTTATTTAAAAATTGTCAGCAGATATTTTTAAAGCTTATTATGAAATAAATTGAGAGGGGGGTGGGGGGTAATCTCACACTATCCACACATCAGGTGCTCGTGATATTGTTATTTAAACAGTTAGATACTGTTTGTTCAATTATTGATTGCCCCTGCTATCAAGTCCTTAAAATGTAATCGAATTGTTTTAATATAATTATTAAAGTGTTAAAACATGTCATGGCTATCGTGTGTTCTGTAGATTTGAGCAATCCTAAAATAACAAAATATAATTGGTACACTGTATAAGATGAAGCCCAATTAATAATTTTACAAACAAAGCCCAATAATTTGCTGTGTAATTTATTGCAAAAACAACACAGACAATAACTGACATATAATTCTTGCGCCAGTGAAGCACTAACAATTACTGTACTTTCTATACGTACATGGAAAGGTAATCGTTTTTTCTTGAGGAAAATTATCTTATCGACTGCCTCGGAGGAAACACGGTTTCTCAATTCCATCTCGTTATCACTCTTTAACTGCATTTACTTAATAATAATAATACTCGAATGTCATTTCATTATTCGATTGTCGGTCCATTCGACTGATAGTCGAATAGTCGACTATTCGTTGACATCCCTACTTACAATTATTAATTGCAAATTTTAACTGCATTTTGATTTTTATATCAAACAAGGGCCATATGTTGTTCTTTATGTCTCTCATACCATCTTTTCATAAAAAATGTTTTCCCAACCAAAAAAAAAAAAAGATACACATCTTTAGTATTTTGTGTCCCAGTCTATTTTAAGCTCGATCCATAGCACTGCACGTGATCAGAGATCTCCTTTTTTGAGACAGCAGACCTGTAATACAGAATGATAAACTTTTTCCCCCTTATGTTGATTTTTTGTTAATATATGTCAGTATTCAGAACCCCTTTTTGCCCCTTCCAGGATAAGAGATTGAAAAAGGCACTTAAAGAACTATCTGGCAGCTTGAAAGGAGCCCTGGAAGCATGGAAGATATTTTCTACAGGATAATGGATATTGACTCTGAAAAAAGTGCAGATGCAGACAACAAGACATGGTGGAAACAACTGTAGGAGGCAAAACTGATGGGCAATGATCTTCCAAGATGTGGAAACAGCAGCCACACCCAAGAGGACTTGGTGGAAACAACTGCAGGAGGCAAGGCCGATGAGGAAAATTGATGGATGTTGAGGCAAACCTGATGGACAACGATCTTCCAAGATGTGGAAACGATAGCTGCTCCCAACAGGCCCCAAGACCATAAACTGAGAAAATTTCAAACTTAAATAACTTTTGAAATAATTTTGATTATGAAACAAAAATTTCCACCATATGTTTGAATTTAAATGCGATACAAAACTGTTAACGTTTAAGCAATACATTAGATAAAACTCAAGATATTGAAAATAAAAATTTTGACTCAAGTCCGTTCTCAGTTTATGGTCTTGGGGCAAGGACTTGCTGGAAACAACTGGACGAGCAATGAGCTGATGGATGTTGATCGTCCAAGATGTGGAAACAGCAGCTGGAACCAACAGGACTTGGTGGAAACAACTGGAGGAGACATGCCTGATGGATATGTTACCCCCCCCCCCCTTTCAAGACATTTCACAGTAGATAACGGACACTGATCAGGTATGTGACATAATCATGATCCAAGATTATCTTATTAATAAAAAGTTCCAAATTACAATGCCTACAATTCAGAATAAATTAACATATCTTAGCTACAAATAAAGTGTTATATAATTGATTTGAAATTTCCTGCATTTGACATGATATCATAGTGTCTGTACAGATGTTTAGTGATAAACTAAGTTAGTCTTTGTTTTTCACTAAAAAATAGCTCAAGTACTGATATTAACCACTGACATATGGCAGGTGGCTTAATTTTGCTATTACACATGCATCAGTATTTAATTCAAATTAGCTTCGCCAAGCATTCATACGGAGCGAATGCCAAATAATTTGATAGGCAGATAATTTGAATTACACTAATTCACATTAAATTCCTTAATTCGCAGTAACTTGCATTTAATTCGAATTAAACCATCTGTGTGAACAGGGCATAAATTGTGTAGCTTCTGTCAGACATGTAAGGAAACAATTATTTCATGTGGGATTCCCACAGTGGGAATGCCAGAAGGTCCAGGAACATATAGATAGTTGTACCAATTTCTGTGTAATCAGGTCGAGACTACACTATCTTTTATGGAAGGTATTTTTCATCACGTGATAATATTTTCATCAAACCCATTCTCCAATCAATTGAATGAGTTGCAAAGCATGATGGTCTACTATGTGTTTACTATTAAACAGCTACATGTGGTTTTTGTCGTTATAGTGCATAATATTTACTTGGTCACTGGAAAAACTGTACAACTTCTTTTTCATTTTATATGGCTGAAATTGAAAGACAATGTTCCATGCTCACATTGAATATGTATTGGATGATTAAACTAGTTACCTCAAATACTGTCTAAACTCTTTGACATATGCATACATTATATAGGTTTTAAAGATAATAAAAACAAAAATTGCACACTGGTGTATTGATGTTTAGATCTAAGAAAAATATCCTAAATACAAGATATTACTGGTGACATGCATGAATAGATATATGTAGATACACAAAAGCATTCAATGACGGAAAAATATGCTTCTCTTGTTTGTCAACAAAAAGCATCTAGATTTGTTCATTACGCTTAATACTCTTATGAAAATCAAAAAGAAATCATTTTTAGCTCACCTGAGCCGAAGGCTCAAGTGAGCTTTTCTGATCACATTTTGTCTGTAGTCCGTCTGTCCGTCTGTCCGTCTGTCTGTCCGTCTGTAAACTTTTCACATTTTCGACTTCTTCTCAAGAACCACTGGGCCAATTTCAACCAAACTTGCCACAAAGTATCCTTGGGTAAAGGGGATTCAAGTTTGTTCAAATGAAGGGCCACGCCCTCTTCCAAGGGGAGATAATTAAGAATTTGTGAAAAATTAATGGCATCATTAAAAAATCTTCTTCTCAAGAACCACTGTGCTTGAAAACATGAAACTTATGTGGAAGCATCCTCAGGTAGGGTAGATTCAAGTTTGTTCAAATCATGACCCCCGGGGGTAGGGTGGGGCCACAATGGGCGATCAAAGTTTTACATAGGAAATATACAGGAAAAATCTTTAAAAATCTTCTTCTCAAGAACAGCAAAGCCATACTTGGTCATATTTATATGGTAGCATCCTCATATAGTGTACATTCAAGTTTGTTCAAATCATGACCCCCGGGGGTCGGGTGGGGCCACAATGGGCGATCAAAGTTTTACATAGGAATATATAGGAAAAATCTTCAAAAATCTTCTTCTCAAGAACAGCAAAGCCATGATTGGTCATATTTATATGGAAGCATCCTCAGGTAGTGTAGATTCAAGTTTGTTCAAATCATGACCCCCGGTGGTAGGGTGGGGCCACAATGGGCGATCAAAGTTTTACATAGGAATATATAGGAAAAATCTTTAAAAATCTTCTTCTCAAGAACAGCAAAGCCATAATTGGTCATATTTACATGGAAGCATCCTCAGGTAGTGTAGATTCAAATTTGTTCAAATCATGACCCCCGGGGGTCGGGTGGGGCCACAATGGGCGATCAAAGTTTTGCATAGGAATATATAGGAAAAATCTTTAAAAATCTTCTTCTCAAGAACAACAAAGCCATCATTGGTCATATTTATATGGTAGCATCCTCAGGTAGTGTAGATTCAAGTTTGTTCAACTCATGACCCCCGGGGGTCGGGTGGGACCACAATGGGCGATCAAAGTTTTACATAGGAATATATAGGAAAAATCTTTAAAAATCTTCTTCTCAAGAACAGCAAAGCCATGATTGCTCATATTTACATGGAAGCATCCTCAGGTAGTGTACATTCAAATTTATTCAACTCATGACCCCCGGGGGTCGGGTGGGGCCACAATGGGCGATCAAAGTTTTACATAGGAACACATAGTAAAAATCTTCTTCTCAAGAACAGCAAAGCCATGATTGGTCATATTTATATGGTAGCATCCTCAGATAGTGTACATTCAAATTTTTTCAACTCATGACCCCCGGGGGTCGGGTGGGGCCACAATGGGCGATCAAAGTTTTACATAGGAACACATAGTAAAAATTCTAAAAAAAAAAAAACAATTTGTTAAGAATAGCAAAGCCATGATTGGTCATATTTATATGGTAGCATCCTCAGATAGTGTACATACAAATGTGTTCGAATCATGACCCCCGGGGGTCAGGTGGGGCCACAATGGGCCATCAAAGTTTTACATTGGAACACATAGTAAAAATCTTTAAAAAAAACTAATTGTTAAGAATAGCAAAGCCATGATTGGTCATATTTATATGGAAGCATTCTTAGATAGTGTACATTCAAGTTTGTTCAAACATGACCCCTGTGGGTCGGGTGGGGCCACAATGGGTGATCAAAGTTTTACATAGGAATACATAGGTTAAATCTTTAAAAATCTTCTACTCAAGAACAGCAAAGCCATGATTGGTCATATTTAAATGGAAGCATCCTCAGATAATGTAGATTCAAATTTGTTCAATTCCTGACCCCCCCCCCCCCCCAACCACTTTTATATTTAAACTTTTCAACCTTTCAAGATTGAAGTGATTTCTGCTTTTTCCTAGCCATAGTGCTCAGGTGAGCGATATGGCCCCTGGGCCTCTTGTTAGTCGCAAATGAGCACCATTTTTAAAATAGCATTGGAATATATGCTCATAATACTATTACAAAGAAAAAAGGCTTTGAAGTTTAAGCATCCTGTAAAAGTACTTAATAAGTAAGTCATCTGAACTAAAGATACTTGATATGTATGAAAGAAGAAGAAATCCCACATTCAAAACCATTTTCATTTTAGTGTTATCTTTGAAAGAAAAAGAATTATTTGATATGTGCATACCCTGACATTGGGAATTACCTTACTTTTACTTCCATTTTCAGATGTTTTAGCGAACATGTGCATTTTGCTGGAAAAAGAATCTGACATGCCATGTGGATTTTGAGATTTTAACCAGTTAGAGAAAATTTGATGAGCTTTCATTTGAGGGGTGTCCCATCCTTCAATGAAAATAAGGGGAGAAGCTGTGTGAGAAAACATTAACATTGTTACCTATGGGAAATTCATTAGTGGACTGTACCCAGACTGATGGATGTTGACCCTCTAAAATGTGGAAATGAGCTTCTACACCAGACAGGAATTGGTGGAAAAACCAGGAAAGGGCAAGACTGATGGATTTATTTGACCCTTCAAGATGTGGAAATGAACAGCAACAGTCAGACAGGAATTGGTGGAAGCAACTAGAAAAGATGGGACTGATGGATGATGACCTTCCCAACAGCAAGACTTATCCCTGTGGAGAACTGTCACTGATCAGGTATGTGACATAATCAATGATCCAACATCTTTTTTTGAAAAAGTACAGCAAAAAGATATCATCTTAGAGCTATATAATATTTCACTTAGACATGTTTGTTCCTTTATTAATTTCTGTTTATACTTACATAGATGCTGAAGTATTAACTTCTATTTTATAGTGTGCTTTAATGACTTAGTAGTACCCTGTAGAAGACTTAGATAAAGTCATGTGGATGTGCTTGACATTATGAATGATAAGGAGCCCTCAGGTATGGAAATAAGTCACCCAAGTATGCCATTCAGTATGACTCTGTTCTTCATTTTACCTCATTGATCCATATGGTCAATTACCTTTTTTTTCTCATTCATTGACAGAAAATAAAAGTATTGAAGAGGCATATCCTTGTGATCGCATGTGGAGAAAGACAAAGATAGATGACCATGTAGAATTAGCCAGATTTGCACACACAAGCACATCCAGTTTACAATGTTATTATCCAAAACAATTTTTTTGAGACATTTGTTTTGGAAATGGGTGTCTGAGTTGTAAGAGGGTATGGGGTCGCCCACTCAGACACGTGGGTTTTCTCCGGGTGCTCCGGCTTCCTCCCACACTGACCCCATTCTTTTTCTCTATGCCAATGTAAATATCTTTTATTATCTATTGTTTTGCTCTATTGATGTTATTTTATGTAGTTTGTTATATTTTATTTTATAAAATGTTTAGATGAAGTAGTTGAAAGCTAGTTGTAAGTAGACCTTGTCGATACCCTGGGGCATTACTGGTTGGAACTTCGTGGATCCTTGGCCGCTACGGTTGCCAGGCTGGCCTGGGGAGGAGGGGTTGAAAACGCAACTAGTTGTAGGCTGCTTTGTCTTTAATAATCTGTTTTCATTTTATCTAAAATCATATATGTTGCAGATATAATGATTGTTAAATATTAAATTAGTATTCCTGGAATGTACAAATTCTGTCAGCTACTGTAACAGTAATAATTTGTATAGTCAATTCTGATTATTAGCTTATTGTGAAATTGAATGCATTATATACTGACTAAATCTTCAGTAAAAGTAATTGATTATAAATTTTGATGTGAAATTATGATTTGTATTTAAAAATGTAAAGTAATGGGATTTGAACATGTTAAATTGTGATCTGTTAATGTTAAATTGTGATTTTTGAATGTCAAATTGTACGTGATTTGTTTATGTAAAATAGTGATTTGTGAATGTTTGTGAATTTAAGGACATACGCAACGTACCTTACCTACTGATAATTTTTCAAGATATTCTTAATTTAAGATTATAGTGCCATCAGATGTTCGTCGACAAAAAATCAGCATGCATTACCAGGGGTTTTGAAAAGATATCAATTGATGAAAATTCTTGTATAATTCAAAGAAAAATACACAAAAATTACTAAACACATATTCTAGATGTTTTGTTTATCCAGACTTGTTTAGAAGAAGTGTACAACAGCATATATAGACATACAAATGTAGCACACAATTCCTTTACGTATTGGAACTCTTCAACTCAAAGGAAAAAGACAATAAAGTTCAAACTACGTTGCGTATGTCCTTAATGTCTGATTTCATTGTGCAAAAAAAGAAAACAAAACAAACAAACAAAAAAAAAAGCCAGGAAAAAAAACAAGAAAAGACAAAAAAAAAAAAAAGAAAAGAAAGAAAAAACATAGTAACAAAAAAAAAACAAAACAAAAAAAACAAAACAAAAAAAACAAAACAAAAAAAAAAGAAAGAAAAAAAAAAGAAAAACAGATTTGAAAGAAAAAAATATATATAAAGGAGCAAAACAGAAAGGCACAAAACTTTTAATGCTGCCTGCTTGAATTAACATATTTGCATGTTTTTTCAAGCAGAAGGTTCCAAGCCCTTAAAAGCAGAGGAGAAGTTTTGGTATAATATGTATACTGACATTACTGAATGTATGCAAAAGAAGATGGGCAAACATGACAAGTGAAATGCCTATAGTGCAACAAACATGACCTTATAACAAAATTTTCTTTGATATTTCATCTAACATAGTATACTTTATGCAAAATCTCTCCAATTTGCAAAAATCCCACAAAGATTGAAATTATTTGCTTATAAAATAGCATACAAACACTAAAGAAGGCAGGATCATTATCTCATACTTGCATGGATGATACATCTAAGAATGCACACTACTGGACTGGCTTTTAGATGCTGAAACTGACCTAAATTTTCTGGTTAAGTAACACGATTAAAGTTTTTGGGGCAGGTTCACTCCAAGGTAACTATTTACCCGACCTGGACCAAACTTGCATGTATGATACATCTAAGGATGCACACTGTTGGACTTGCTTCGGATGCTGATTCTGGCTTATGAAGCAAATGGGTTTTTGGAGCGGATTCATTCTAAAGTGTTTATTTGCCCAATACTAAACAACTTTGCATTAAAGATACATTTATTGATGCACACCACCAGAGTTGCTTTAGATGAAGATTTGACCAACATTTTCCAGATCAGAGTGAGCAGGTAAAAGTTTTTGAAACACTTCTCAATGACCAAGAAACTATAAGGCCTATCTGAACTTAACTTGCATGGATTATAAACTACCAGAGTTGCTTTAGATGCAGGATTTGACCTACATTTTCCAGATGAGTGACCAGGTTAAAGTTCATTCCAGTCTTACTTCAACCCCTACCTAGACCAAACGAACACTCTCATACTTGTTTCAGATGCTGGATTTGACTGGATAAGTGACTAGTTTTAAGCTTTTAGTCAAGTCCATTCCCAAGTAACTGCATGCCCTACCTGGACCTAAATTGCATAAATTTTGCACCTAGTAATGAACACTAATATATTATTAGTTTAGTGTGGGACTTTTCTTTACTTAAAGACAACATTAGTTGAGGTGAGCTCTGTATCTCTTTTTTTCTATGTTTAAAAATTGTTTTCATATTTTTATGCCAATGCTATCAATATGGTCAGGCATAAAGTGTTTTTATGTCTGTCCTTCCTTTCGTCCCTCTGTTAGTCAAACTTTGTGTTTAGTACAGTTTCAAAGAAACTGTTCAAAATATTTTTATCAAATTTAATATCCTGATACATATTGATTACAGCTTTTCAACTGCATCAACATTTTTTACTTTCCCTTGAGCCTTGACCTCACTTTTCTTAAATAAGTGTTGGGCTCAGTTTCAAATTACTGATTCTTGAATAATCCTTGTCCTCAAAGAAATTGTGCTACATACCCGAGGTATAGTTCCATTTGCCTGTTTTTTAGTTACAATGGAATTCACGATTCTCTTTATTAGTCCCCTACCAGTGAAACCGAAAGGGACTATAGGTTTCCTCCACGTCTCTCCGTCCATCTGTCTGTCTAGCTGTCTGTCAGTCCCTCATCTGTCTGTCAGTCTGTCCCATGCGCGGCCACTTGGTTTTCCACACTTTTTTTTTCTAAAGGCTTGCAGATACTGAGCTGATTTTTGGTACATGTATGTGAGTGTATCTTGATCAGTTACAGATCAAGTTTGGATTTTATTCCACTTCAAAGATTTTTGAGGGAAATACGACCATTTTAATTTTTAAGGGTTTTCTGCACTTTTTTTTAAATGCTTGCAGATATTGAGCTGATTTTTGGTATGTGGGTCTACCTTGATGAGTTATAGATCAAGTTTGCATTATGTTCCAATACAATGATTTTTCGATGGAATTACGGCATTTTCATTTTTAATGGGAACACTTGACGGTAGGGGACTATATAGCTAATAATTTATTCTCAGAATGCTTGTTATCTTTTGTATCAAGAATAAAATGCAAATAAAATGCAAAAAAGATAGATGATTTAAGGAAAATACACACAAGTCCCTTTTAATTTTTTTTTTAGAAAGTCATTGAAAAGATGGGAATTTAAAAACTATAGAAGTGTGGCACCAGGTGGATGCGAACCACAACTCTTAAAAAATGTACACGAGGTGTTAATAATCAGTGAGTATACCAGTCGAGCTATTCTGGCTATAGATTGGATTTATATAAATCAAGTTGTCAGAAAAACAGGTTTCTTTAATTTTTAGCTCACCTGAGCCAAAGGCTCAAGTGAGCTTTTCTGATCAAAATTTGTCCGTTGTCTGTCGTCGTTGTCGTTGGCGTTGTTGTTGTTGTAAACTTTTCACATTTTCATCTTCTTCTCAAGAACCACTGGGCCAAATTCAACCAAACTTGCCACAAAGCATCCTTGGGTAAAGGGGATTCAAGTTTGTTCAAATAAAGGGCCACATCCTCTTTCAAGGGGAGATAATTAGGAATTAGTGAAAAAATAATGGCATCATTTAAAAATCTTCTTCTCAAGAACCACTGGGCCAGGAAAGATGAAACTTATGTGGAAACATCCTCAGGTAGTGTAGATTCAAGTTTGTTCAAATCATGACCCCCGGGGGTAGGGTGGGGCCACAATGGGGGATCCAAGTTTTACATAGAAATATATAGGAAAATATCTTTAAAAATCTTCTTAAGAACAGTGAAGCCAAGATTGGTCATATTTATATGGAAGCTTCCTCAGGTAGTGTAGATTCAAGTTTGTTCAAATCATGACCCCCGGGGGTAGGGTGGGGCCACAATGAGGGATCCAAGTTTTACATAGAAATATATAGGAAAATATCTTTAAAAATCTTCTTCTTAAGAACAGCAAAGGCATGATTGGTCATATTTATATGGAAGCATCCTCGGGTAGTGTAGATTCAAGTTTGTTCAAATCATGACCCCCGGGGGTAGGGTGGGGCCACAATGGGGGATCCAAGTTTTACATAGATATATATAGGAAAATATCTTTAAAAATCTTCTTCTTAAGAACAGCAAAGGCATGATTGGTCAGATTTATATGGAAGCATCCTCAGTTAGTGTAGATTCAAGTTTGTTCAAATCATGACCCCCGGGGGTAGGGTGGGGCCACAATGGGGGATCCAAATTTTACATAGAAATATATAGGAAAATATCTTTAAAAATCTTCTTCTTAAGAACAGTGAAGCCAAGATTGGTCATATTTATATGGAAGCTTCCTCAGGTAGTGTAGATTCAAGTTTGTTCAAATCATGACCCCCGGGGGTAGGGTGGGGCCACAATGAGGGATCCAAGTTTTACATAGAAATATATAGGAAAATATCTTTAAAAATCTTCTTCTTAAGAACAGCAAAGCCATGATTGGTCATATTTATATGGAAGCATCCTCAGGTAGTGAAGATTCAAGTTTGTTCAAATCATGACCCCCGGGGGTAGGGT